CTCTGTTTCCATATCCGGTATAAACCACAACACAGGTTTCTTTTTTAAAATCAATGGAAGTAATGGTAGCTGGGTAAATGCAGCCGTCTTCTGACCAAACGGCAGAACATTTGTCACCAACTTTCCACTACAAAAGAAATGAAAGATACAGACATGCACACGTTACTTCTTTTGAAGAGAACAAACCATAATCCAGCTCACCAACTGTAATTCCAACCCTTCCATCTACTTAATTACCAAATTACTCTTAGTCACCCGCAACTTCTTATCCCAGTCAGATGAACGGCTGTAGTTCATCTACCACCTAAATTTGTCATCAAGAACAAAACAGACCAAAAGTGTATGACACATACAACACTCTGGCCAGAAAAAAGCAAGTGCTCATCAAACATCAGCACCCTTCTCCTTCAGTAATAATGAGCTATGAGGCATCAAAATATTTACTTTAAAAACAAACAAACATGCAAACAAACATGCATCTACAGGGTTTTGTTCTGACTCAGTGTGGGTTTGATGGTGGGATACCCAGGGTTGGGTATGTACTAGGCAGGTGCTCTACCGCTGAACTATATTCCCACCTCAGACCCCTGCTTTGAAATTAGGAGACCTAGTTACCCCAAACCTTTGTTTTCCATAATATTTTCTGGATTGTTGAGTTGTGGGGGGAAAAGGGGGAGGGAGGGCTAGAGTTACTGATCAGCTGCACAGCACATACTCAGAATGCAAGGAGCTCTGGGTTTAATACTCAGCACCACAGAAGGAGAACATATGTACACACACACACACACACACACAGACACACTTATACGCACACAAGATATATCTTGTGTGTGTGTGTGTGTGTGTATTTGTCTATATGATTTTGTGTGTGTGTGTGTGCATCAACTTAAAAAAAAAACAACACTGCTGACTCAATTTATAGGTCTCATTCACTCTAGATAGCATCATCAACCCTTTCCATCGGGCTGGGCAAGATGCTATTTAAATAAATAAGTAACCTGTTTCAAGGGAGTTGTGGCATTCTTCTTTTGGTTTTTATTCTTCTTAGCAGGTTTTCTTCTAGCTGTGCCTTTTGGCTTATCTGAAGTTTCACAAATGTCACCATTCTTTAGAGCATGCTACGAAACAGTAACAGAAATAAATTCACATGTTATGGAGAAATACACTGTTACAAAGCCACCACTTCCTTACATGACAGTTGCCACTATAAGATGGTCTCAAGGTCCCATTGCCTAAGAGAACCCCCAGTATGAAATGAGGACATACAGAAAAGAGTGATTAAACATTTCATACCTTAAAGGAAGCCACGGCTTTATCGTAAGCTTTGATCAATGCTGTATCATCCCAGATGTCAGAATCATCACTCTGAATTGAAAAAAGAATATAAATAATTTATGGACAGATAGGTTTAATTAAAAACATACAATGCAAAGTACTGGGGGATGTTGTTTACAGCCCCCAGTTCAACCCCTGGCACTACTTGTTGTAGCAGCACATGCCTATAATCCAAACTTTCAAAAGGTTGAGGCAGGAGAATTGCCAAGGCAAGCTGAAGATTAATCTGAGCTACATAGTAGACTCCAAGACTACAATATCAACCCTGTCTCAAAAAACCCTGAAACAACAAAAATCATGACCTGCAAATTTTAAAGGCTCATACCTGTAATCTATAATCCCAACTCTTGGCAGGCAGATACAATAGGCTCACTCAGAGTTCCAGGCCAGTCTAGTCTACATATTGAATTCCAGGCCAGTTTGGGCTACAGACTGCAACCAATTACAAAAAAACAAAAACGAACTTCCAAACCAAGTGTAGTAGTACACCCCTTTAACTCCAGCACATGGGAGGCTGAATAGGTCAATCTCTGTGAGTTTGAGGTCACCCTGGTCTAATGGAGAGTTCCAGGCCTGCTAGGGCTACATAGTGAGACATGTCTCACAAAAACCAACAACAAAATAGAAACTTCAATAAATAAGATTGCCCCTGGGATTTCAAGCAGGTACCACCACACTGGGCTTGAAGAAGATATTTAGATGACAAATAAGCACCAGAAACTGTGGTTAAAGAGTGAACCTGACCCCGGGGCTACAATGAGAACAAAAGGCAAAGTTTTCATTCAGGATATGACCTGCAGGGCTGTCCCCAAGAGAAGAGGATGCAGCATTCCAAACGGTGCCTCGAATTCTCTCCTCCCACCTTACACTCCAAACAGAAATCACACTTAGCATACTAAGATTAAGCTCCTAATGCTTCAAACTTTTTTTTAGATGGAGTGTGTTCTTTTTCTCAGGCTAGCCTCAACCTCACAATCCTGCCTCAGCCTCTCGAGTAGCTGGGATGGGTGAAAGGCCCGGTCCACACAGTGGCCCTGATTTCCCCTCATATTTAAAAGCGTTTGTTTTACTCTTAAAGAGTCTCACTGTAATATAGGCTGGCCTCAGGTTCACTCTGAGGGTGGGTGATCTTGAACTCCTGACCCTCCTGCCTCCATCTCCCAAGTGCTTGCGACGGTCAGCCTGCACCACGAAGACTGGCTCTCTCTGATCTTCCATCTGCCCCACCTGAGTGTACTGCAGTCAGGTAGCAACTTTTCAGAGCTACTCAGGGCAACTTCAGTTACCCTTGTCTCTCAAATTTTCTTATCAGACTATTACCTGCGAAACTTGGCCCTTTTAGTAACAAAACTTTACCTAGAATCAAACTTTTTAGTCTAAACTCACTGCTAACGTCTGGATCTTGACCTAAACTTGGAGCACTTCAATGACTCCTAACTAGCTTTACTGCTTTTGCCACCTTGTCTCTGTTCCCTCACAGTCACACAGGACCAAAGCGTGGCTCGCAGCCACTCCAGGCGCCCTGGCAGCACCAGGAGCCCTGCAGATGGGGTAGCAGCAAGTGGCCCGAGCGCGCACTGGCTCGGTGCCGGCCGGCGCTCCAGGTTCGCAGGGCGCTGTCGCCGAGCTCCGCCACCCGCGACCTCACCTGGCCTGTGCCACGCCGGAACAGCACCGAATCCTCCTGTTCCGAGACCGCACCGCCGCTGCCCATCGCCATGGCGAGCTACCACGGACGCCGCCTGGGCTCTCACAGTGACGACTTCCGTCGCGAGAGGCTTCTGGGAGCGGAAGAGCACGGTGGCCCGGAGACAGCCAGGGATGTTCAGCACGCTTTAGGCAAATGGTTCTTCCCTCCACCAACCCCTACGGTGTAGCCCATGCTGGCCTTTACTTTGCTTCCCGAGTTTGGGATTACAGGTTCTGTCAAGTTTGTTTTCCTTTTTAACAATAGTTTTAGTATAAAATAATGGTAATGGCAGGTAACCCGATAAAGCTGAACAATAAGGGCATCCTCTGCTTGTTGGTTCATGATGCACACGACAGTCATTAGATGATGATTGATGTAGGGCCTTCCATTGCACTGTTGGGTGTCCATTTTCTAGTAAGTCTCAGGTGAGGAAGGCCAAGCCGACTGTTTCCTTGGTTTGGCATGTCTGGTAAGTTCTTGGGTCTGGTTTTCCTGGTAGGATTTTGTTACACCCATGTGCCCGCATTGTTTCTATTCATCCCAATAAACTTACAGACTCTCTCCCTTTGTGCTGTGGATAATAAGACACCGGGATTATAGGTGCATACCAGCTCATCAAGCCTTTTGTGTGAATGCTAGAGATCTGAACCAGGTCCTCATGCTTGTGTGGTGAGCATTTGCTGACTGAGCCACATCTCCAGCTCCTCAAGGCCCAGGTTTTGAAGACATTCAGATGACATTTCTAAGTCTTAAGTAGAATTCTTGCTGCATCCTCTCACTTGGTTCCTACCCATTTAGTTAATCTTCCTGGTTTGTACCAGTGTAAATTCTTGTAGCAAAGCAGCTGGTTACAAAGCAAAAATTATATAAATAGAACTTCAATTGGACTGTAGGTTGTGTGTGGTGCTGGAAATTGAACTAAGGCAGGTACTCTAATGTTGGCTACACCCCAGCCCTAACAGAAAAACTTAAGGACCAGGGCTCACCTGGGGGAGGCACAAGCACAAGCCTGACCATCCTAACAGTTCAGTCACCAGTTCAGTCAACTCATGTTCAAGAGCTGGATGTGGGCTGTGTATCAGTACTCTTGGCACACATACTGCAAACTGGGAGGGGGACAGCGGTGCATCAGAGAAACAGGAGGTGCCCCCACTAGGCAGAAGGACTGACCTCTCAAATGTATCCTTTGACCTCCTCCAGCTCTCCCCCTACACACACACACACACAAAAGTTGGGGGTGGGCAGTCACTGAGCAGCTCTGAGTTAAATTCCCTAGAGTCCCATGGTGGGAGATGAGAAATGACTGCCCTAAGTTGTTCTCTTATCTCTACATGTCTTTGTATCACTCGTACACACACTAAATAAATATTTAGAACTTTAAGAAAATTTATAGTAGACAAAAATTTAAAGATCTACTTTAGGTTAGCATTGTGGCTACACTTAGGATCCCAGAACTCCTGTGCTACAAAATGAAATTGTTTCAGAAAATAACAAAAACAAAATCAAACCACTAACAATGTGTATGACCAAGATTCTAGATTTATATTTATTCCTGAATCACATTACCCATTGTGGCTTGCATCTGAAGTATCTCCCAGAGTTCACAGTTTTAATGCTTGTTCCCCGGATAGGGTCCTATTTTGGGAGGCTATGGAACCTTTGGGAGATGGGGCCTAATGGAGGGAGGAAGTCATTAAGGATAGAACTTTGAGTGTTAAATAGGTTCCTGTCCAGATGTGGATTCCTGGTGTGATGCAGCCTCTGCTATGTGCTCCTACCATGAACTGAGCTGCTCTGCTCTGCTCTCCTTTCTAGGAAGGAATGAAGTCCTCTGAGACCATGAGGCAATTTGTTCCTCCCTCAACTTCTCCTTGTCAGGTACTGTGGTCCTGGCAATGTAAATGTAACTAATATATTACCATTTAATAAATTACATAAATGTTCTCTATTGATAAAAATAATATTCACCAATATGTTACATGCATGCTCAGTACTTTATTCTTTGAAGAATGGTCTTAAAACGTCATATAAAGTAAGGCTGAAAAGTAAAGTTTAAAATAGACAGTTTATAAGGATAAGTTATAACACATGTGACCATTAGTCACTCTGAGAAATTTTGATCTTAGAGCTTATGATGCACCCCACTGGCAATAGCACCCAGGTTTTCCAAAAGACAAGTCATCATTTTTCTCTTGTCTGCATAGATTTCTTCTCATTGGCTATCTTCTGCTTTTGTTGCATGATCTCAGAGTCCCTGTAATTGAGAAAAAGCTATTAAGTTTTCACAAAAACTGGTTTCATGCTACCATTGTTTCTTTTTTTTCTGAGACAGGCTTTCTTTGTGTAGCTTTGGAGCCTATCCTGGAACTCGCTCTGCAGACCAGGCTGGCCTCAAATTCACAGTGATCTGCCTGCCTCTGCCTACTGAGTCATTGTTTCTTATATATAAACTTTTTAGTACATTAAAAGGCAACTTAAAAGAAGACATAAACAGTCATGTTTTTCCATTTTCATGAATGTAGACAAATAAAAGCAAAGACTGGAAAGGCATTTGAACAGCATGCTACTGTTACCATAGCCTTGGTAACATAGCTCTTTGATTCTGATGAGGAGGGAGAGGGAGAAGACAGAGTCTCACTACATTCCCATGGCTACCCTTGAATTCATTGTGTAGATCAGGCAGGCCTCAAACTCAAGGAAATCCAAGGAAATCCACCTGTCACTGACTCTGTGCATTTAGGAAGTCTCCTATGTACCCTAACAGATACCTAGGACTACAGTATATATGTTATAATTCTTTGCATTTTTTTAACTCTTGATCCTCTTGCCTCCATTTCCTAGTGTTGGAATTATAACAATCCAGCTTTTTAAAAGCCCCATATCAAATAATCAACACTTAAAATTTGATTACTCTAAAGAAATATGTGCTAATTGAAAAATTTCTTTAACCTTTGTACTCCCTGGTTGAATCTTCACATGTCAAGTAACTATGAATTATGGCCAAACTACTGTAGCTAGGGAATCCATGAGTTAGTGGGACCCATACTTTCACATATATTTTCAAATGCTTTTTTAAAAAATATTTAATGGTTGCTAAATGTGGTGGTGCACTCTCATAACCCAAGCTCTTGGGAGGTAGAAGCAGGAGGATCAGAAGTTCAAGGTCTGATTCCACTACTAGGAAGTTCCAGGCAACATAGGGCAGATGAATGCTTATATATACTCTTCTTAAAAAAAAAACTCCCACAAAACACAAGAAGTAATATTTAATGACACTAGGCATCAAATTCAGGGCTTCCTGCATAGGTGAAGGACTCAATATTTTAATATATACTATATATCTATGTATTCAACATCCTCAGCTGGGTGTGTGTGTTCACACCTGTAATTCCAGTACATGGGAGGCTAAGATTACTACCAGTTCTAGACCAGTCTAAGATATATATTGACTTCCAATCAAATTTTGTCTCAAAAAGAAAAAGAAATCAAGCCAAACCAAAGCCACCTTCTCTGAGCCAAGTCCTATTGATTTTTGTTTTTGCTTAAGTTCAACAACTTCAGTTATTATCCCCATGTTTGTATTAAAGACAGAAAGAGGACAAGATGGCTCAGCATGTAAGAAAACTTGCCGCTCTTGCAGAGGACCCAAGTTCAGTTTCCCGAACCCACATGGTAGCTTACAACAGTTTGAAACTTCAGTTCCAGGGAACTCAATGACTTTTCTGACTCCATGGGCATCAGGCAGGCAGGTGGCACACATACATACATTCAGGCAAAATACTCATACACACAAAATAAATATAAATTTTTAAAATCTATATAAATCAACAGGCACAAGGCTAAATAATTTGCCCCAAATCACACAAATACCAAGGTCTGGCTAATTTCAAAATCAGGGATCTTTCCTACATTGTTAACACCTAAATTTAGAATTAAATTTTAACTCAGTATTGGCTACTTATGTAAGAGGACATGTCTATAAATGCAATAGAAAAAAAAAAAAAAGAAGGAAAGGCTACAGAGGAATGAATTAAGTGGAATTCACTAAATGGAATTAAGAACAATGAAAGTCATTTTTCTGTTTCAAACCAAGCTCTGTGCTATATGATCTTAGTAATGTCACTCAAGTTCAGAACCACAAGATAGAGGGGTGGCTAATGCCTGGCACCCAGAATTCCCAAAGCTGAGGCAGAATAATCACAAGTTCAAGTGTGGATTACAATGAGACTTTGTGTCTCAAACCAAACCAAACCAAGCCAAACCAAACAAACTAGAAGTTCACTCTCCTATTCTTCACACTAGTGCGAATACCACATTTTAGGGTCATAATGGGTAGAGACATGTCACATCTAGCACATTTTAAGGGAGTATTATACACAAACAATGCTGGTTCTGAGACAGCTAGAACAGATTCTCCAAGAAGAAGAGCATTTCAGGGTCACTGATCTATACTCTTTTTACTCCAAGGTGAGTTTATTGCTTTATTAGTAACTGTCACTGGGGCTGGAGATCGTGTCTCAGTCATTAAAGTTCCTGCTGTACAAGACAAGGATCCAAATTTAGAGCCCCTACAAATTCCATGTAAACATTAGGGCATGGTGGTGTGTGTGTCTTAAACCTCAGTCCTGGGTGTGTGTGTGGGGGGGACTCAGACGGGCATATCTCACAAGTGCATTTGGCCTGTCAGCCTAGCCAAATTGGTGAACTTCATATTTAGTGAGAGACCCTGACAAAAATAAAAGGTGGAGAGTGATGGAAGAAAGATACTTGCTATCAACTTCCACACTAATGTGTGTGTACCCTTGTAAGTACTTGAAGCATGTACACACATATAAACATGCAATAACTGTCATAAAACAAAAGGAAGCAATATTGAAGGTGTGGAGTCTCTGTGACCACCAAGGCCAGCAGAGTAATGATCACATGGAGGAAGAAGGCAGTTTGGATCAAGAGGACTCAGGGGCTGGTGCTGGTTCAAATTTTCAGAGTCTAAAACTGGGTAGTTTGTTTTAGGCATGTTTAAGCACAACACAATTGGAAAAAGTTTCCTGGTGATAATTCACTCAATCCTGCATGCACAACAAAGCTTAAGACATGACTACATCAAAACTCTCAGTGAAGTACAAGTGACATTTTCCATAAAGATAGGTTCTACAGATTAGGGGTCCAGGGAGGGAGAGAGCAACAGATTGACTGAGACAAACATACTCAAGATAAGGGTCTGGGGGAGCCACCATGTCCTAGCCACATACATAGCAGAAATGTCACCAGGCTATTGTCCATTCCCAGCCTTCTGGGTGGAAAACAGGTTATAGCTCTCTCCCTGTGAAGAGACAAGCCTGTGGGTTTAACACTCCTGGTTTCCCTAGTGCTTATCTGTGAGCACAAGGACATACATGCCTCCTTCATTAAGGGATTCAAACTCACTGATAAAGAAGTCTCAACTATGGTTTAACATATATAGATAGTTATAAAAAATGTATTTAGTATGCTTTGTGGGGAAGGAGAGGAAGAGGAGGGATCAAATTCAGAGCTTTATGTATGCTAGACAAAGACTCCACCAGATGATTTTTCTCTTCAGCCCTAGCATGTTCCCATCAAATAACCACAGAGGGTCTCACTAGATGGATTGGCTTTAAACTTGAACTTGATACACACTGAAGATGACCTTGAGTTTCTGATTTTTCTACTCCTGCCTCCTAAGTGTGGGATTACAAGCATATGTCACTTCTGTTTTGTTTTGTTTTTTCCCCAGTGCTGGGAATGAATCGGGAGCAATGTGTTTTTATTATCAATGGTCAGTCTCATCTCAAAACAATTAAATTAGAGCAGGGTGTAGAGTACTGGCTGTAGTAGCCATTAGAGTTTCCTGGATGATTCCCATGTAAAGGATTGAGACCAGTAATAAGCCACACCGAAGCACACCTAATCTCCAAGTTCCCTATGAACAATGAAATCTCACTTTAGAATATGGAGTGCTCAGTGATAGAGCTAAGTGAAAAGGTCCTAGACTAAATCCCCAGCACAGGAGTAAACCCAAGACCTCAGGTCTGTGAGCCATGGGGCGCTAAGATTTATCTCCAGCTTCTTGTCCTCATGGGTCTTGCAAAAAGGATGATATTCATATGCTCTGGTTCCCAGTTTTGTTTTTCTATGTGGTGACAGAATTTATAACTTGAAATTAATTTCTTGCTGTGTCTGTGTGGTCTGGCGATTGAACCTGTAGCTCAAGTATGCAAAGTATGTGATGTAATGCAGAACTATGCTTCCAGGCCCTCTACTCCCCTTTGAAACAGGGTAATCTGCAACCTCATTAAAGATTTTTCTTGGGTGGAGACACACACACAGTGTAAAAGAAAGTTTTAAAGCATTTATCTTTTCTTGAGACTATCTTATCATGTAGTCCAGGATAGCCTCATATTCCTAATTCTCTTGCATCAGCCTCCTGAGTCCTAGGATTACAACTGAACAATACTATGTCCAGGGCATTAACTTCTTCTGGGGCTTGTTATACCTAGTCATCTCAAGTTCTAGGGTTGGAACTGGGGGCCTTACAGATGTTAGGTCAGTACTCTCTACTGCTGAGCTCACCCTCAGTGCTCACCTCCCCACTGTTTTTGAGACATGGTCTGTAGGTCTCTGTAGCCTATGCTGGCCTCTGAGGAGCATTCCATCATGTATCAGTCCTGTGTCCCTACATTCACTCCCACCCCAATGGACCTCCAGAAGGCCATACTTTGCTCTTGGTATTTTCAGAACACAGATCTCTGTAATTGAGCCACTTGTTATCCTGACACCTTGGGGCAAGTTATCTGCTTTGGAAACATTGTATCCTATTCATCTAACAGTACTTACACATGGAGGCTGTTTGTTATTTTCTCTAGTGAAGTTCTTACAGTTTACAGGAGCTGCAAGAGATTATCTGCAAACATGACAGCTTCGGGGCTTGAAACTCTTCATCCACAGGTTGGGACGATGACTTCAGTGCACTTTTGTATACTTAGAGCTACACAGATCCACAGTGTTAACCCTTACTGTAGGTGAGGCCCTGTTCTAGCAAGGGTTTAAGAAGGTTCTTAATTCATTCTAAAAACATGGCAGTCAAACTACCACTGATTTGAACACTCTCTTAGCACTACTCACCTCTGTTTTCTCTGAGAGGTAGTCAAGCTATCCTCTTTTCTTTTTCCTTTGCTAATTTCCTGGGTTTTTTTCATATTTTTCTGGCGGGCAAGTTCTCTTTGATTTCCTCCTACAACGATAAACAGTCATGTTCTTTTCCCATCTTTAAACTTATTGATAACTAATGGATGGGTCTTTAATTATGTGCCTTAAAGTTTTATTTATTTTTATTAGTAAGAAATCGAGTGTCACATAGGAATTCCCACACTGACAAGGAGGAAGCTTAAGTGGAAGCACTCAAGAACTTAAGTATATTATCGCACGAGTATAGGTATCGACTATCTGCTTTTAATTTCAGTACATGGAAAGCAGAAGTAGGAGGATCTCAGCGTTTCAGGCCAGCCCGGTCTACAGAGCAAGTTCCAGGACAGCCAGGGCTACACAGAGAAACCCTGTCTTGAAAAACTAAAGTAAAATAAAAAATAATAAACAAGTAAATATTAAAAAATAAGAATAGCCATACCGGTGGTTATGTACACACGCCACACTCTAAGTTCTGGCTTTTGATGGGTATGTGTGAAGAGAGGTGGACAGACACATCCCCCAGCCTCTCACCCCGCCGCCCCCAGATCAGTTCAGTCCATCGCAGTCCGCCGGTTAAAGGCAGCTGCCGTTGAGCTCAAGGACCGTCTCCTCCCAGGACCAAACAAAAGAGTTGGAGGACACCCCGGACTCCTCAGCAGGCTTTCTGACCTAGGAGCCCGCTACAACTCCACAGACTGGTCCGGCCGGCAGTCGCATGCACACC